GACACCATACGCACATTATGGAGCCACCCAAAAGGTGAAAACTATCAGCAGCGAGGAGCATTGTGACATGCTCTCGAGTTCATTCGATCTGCCCCTGGCCGGAGGGATTCGACCTGTTACCGGGGCTTCATCACTGCATCGCCAGACGTGGCCGTCCTGGACAGTAGAGCTGCCCGCACAGCCCTCAAACAGCAGGGTTTAGTAACAGCCCCCACCCAGTTCAACAGGAAGCTACATGCACTCTTATTGCCAAAGAAGGAAGTCTGGTCATGTGAAGTGACTTTGTGATCAGTTTGTAAAGTGAAAATTAAAAACGTTGAGCAGAGATTAAAAGTTTGAAAGCAAAGCCTCGATGTTCACCCGCAGAGAGGAAAAAGCTTGTTTTCTGCACTCAGTCATCAGACGCTGGGCTCACCTGTTCAGTTAACAGAGACAATGACAACAGCAGCTCACCTGCTTTAAAGTGGAGCAGGAGTCAGACCCTCTGCCTCTTGGTGAGAACACATCCGTATCCGTGGCTGTTCCTCTGAAGCACTGAAGCTCAGCCCCCACCATCATGTGACCTCTGCTGACGTCCTGCATGTCTGTGCAGGCTCTCAGTCGTCCCGTCACGGTAAGCTGAGCTCTTCAAAATAAAGGGCCGGACTCGCACCAGTTTCTTGACTCCTGTTGTTGTGTGGATGATACAGTCCAGGCGCTTCTCTGTAAAGGTTTCTTAGATAAAGTCCTGCACACTTTGTTTTACACTGAATGTAATTCTGAGTGCATTTGTGTTCTGGGCCACATGATGTGTTTTAACTTCTTATTTTTATTCTTGTTTTGTCTCAAATTGTTTTTCTGTTTATATAAATACATCACGTTTGCTTGATTCTTGGCCCGACATGTGCAAAGGTCACATGAACTCCAGTGAGCTCCCACTGTTGATCCACAGGGTGGAATATGATGTCGGCCCACCGTGTGCAGCTGGACGTCTCCTGGAAGGATTTCCTCAGGTTCAGGAGTGTT